AATAGACATAATCTAGGAGACCAGAGAGTCTTCTTCATCATAGAATCATAGAACAGTTAGAGTTGGAAGGGACCTTGAAGTTCACTGAGTTCCAAATCCCCTGCCCTGGGCAGGAACGTCTCCAACTAGACCAGATTGCTCTTATTTATCTCTAAAAGATCTATCAGATATTTTATATGAAGCTGCAGTAGAAAAAAATTTAGGTGGTGGGTTGCCTTTTTTTTTTTTTAACATGTGCTTTTTGCAATTCTTCAATGCAAAGGGAAAAGTATCACAGTTTAAAGTTCATCAGTATTTGTTATTTACTAGTAAGTCCAAGCACTTCCTGCAGAAATTCAAGATATAAATAATAAACAGGATATAGCATTGCTCTTATCTGCAAAGTGCAAAATAACAAGCGTTGCAGCACTACACATATCACACATCCACATAATCCAATTCCTACACTACTTTAAAACAAAAACCTATTTTTTCTGATTTCTGAAGTAGATCACAATGAATATCTCAGATTCTATTCAACAGCCACAACAGCATTGAGAACAGGCCACACATCTATATTTACTACTCATTTACCACTTTTTAAAACTAGATCTTTCAGAAAAAGTTCAGATACTAATCGCAAATCAGGATAAAATTCCTGTATTGTCTGATACAAACGTCAGATTTTTCCTAAAAACTGAGTTTCCAGAGCTCAGACATGAGAAAATGAGTGTGCAATCAAATCTACATACCAGAAAACTGATGGCTACAGTAACAAGTATATTAAGTCAGTACACTGGGCAAAGGTTCTCTTACGGTTACAGTCATTTGACCTTTAGCCAGCTCTTAATGCCCCAGCCAACCCTCTAAAGATGGAGATTTGCAGCAGCTTCTTGTCTGAAATAAGCCATGAAAAGATTCTTCTGAACCCACTGTACAAGCATTCATTTAAAATGTCATGAATGTGCATGAAATCAGAGTGCTTCTAACAGCTTACTTTGCAGCTTCTGTTTAAATGCACTAACTCTGAACCACCAGAGGATAAAAGGACCTTCCAGTCTGGCACTCATGGACCTAAAATATACACAAGCACCTCTTCACAGGTGTGTTTACCTAGTTTAAACCTTATTTAAATAGACTCTGGATGCACACACTTTCCACAAACACCTGCTTCTCCCACTGCAGTGCTGACTTGTACAAGGCAGTTGTACTCAGTCATTTTCTGTCCTAAAGCCATCCTACACACCAGTAAGCAGCACTTCAGTCGCGAAAATCCTGGTTACTGACTCATCCTCCCCCCAAGTCCGAGCAAAGCACAAATTCTGCAATGAGGAGAATGACTACAGAAGTACCTGCTCTTACCTCTACATCCCACTGGAACAGTCTGAAGACCTCAACAGCCACAGCAGGATTTGAGGAAACCCGATCCTCATTAGATGATGGAAAAGCTTATAATTAATTAATATTTCCAGCCCTTCGTGGTTATAAAACCTCTCCCTGGCGAGCTCAAGAGCATCCTAAGCTGGAAACACTCATGAAAGAGAAGATGCTCAGTTATCACTGGATGTCAAGAAGAAGCTTCCTTTTATTGACCTAAATCTGTAACAAAACTGACGAAATGAACAAATATGTCAACATCCAGATACATTTGCTAGATACTAAGCTTATTGTACAAAGCATTCAAATGGAAGCTGTGGTGAAAGTGACCCTAGATCCAAACTTGTATCAACACTAACGCTTCCATCAGTTTTCAAATAAACTTTGAAGATGTAGTTGTATTTCAATTTTGCGTGCATGGATAAAGTCACTGCTTCCATATGGTTGTAACTCAGGACACAGATTTTTTGCTTTTTTCTAAGCTGTGGAAATACGAGACACCACATCAAACTTAGGGTTACGGTGTTTATCTCAGTACAAGAAGCATTCAGCTATTAAATTTATCTCAGAGGAAGTTATGCATCACCCAAGACAACAGAACCTCTGTTTTTCCTTTCTGTTTTTTTGCGGGTAACTACTACCGATAATAATAAAAATATATGCAGCCCATAAAAGTGTAAAAACGGCACAAAATCAAGTAATGGCGGATTGGAGCAGACCTGCTGTTCATTTTCAATTATTAAACTGCTTTTGTAAATGTATATAAAATTGCCAAAGAAATTAAGGTTCTCTGTGAGAATTTTAAAGACCAACACCATTCCACGCAGTTCAGGTCCAAGACCCTTAGCTGGGTGTGCTGAACGTGAGAATTTTAAAGACCAACACCATTCCACACAGTTCAGGTCCAAGGCCCTTAGCTGGGTGTGCTTCACAGGAGTGAAGTTACTCTTAAACCATAATCACAGGGTTGTCTGTGCTGAGCAACAGCATCTTCTGTAGATGCTTCCTTCAAGAGCCCCTTTAGATGCTACAATGGGATGGGATATCACTACTTAGTTGCAAGCAAGCATTTACTGTTTCGGCATTCAAATAAACCACATTTATGTAATTTAGTCACTCTTGAGGAACGATACTTTGAAAGGGGAATCTTTAGCTGCTGGAGGCAAATGGTGCATCTTTATACCCTTGACCAGGGTATTTCAGCATCTCAGTCACGACAGAGTTAATACCCACTAGCTCAGAGGAGAACAAAAGGTACTCCACTGCAACATGCCTAACATTTACATTGCCTCTCTTTGCTCATTAAACAGGTTTTGGTTAAATAATGAACAAACTGTATTACAGACTCCGATGAGAATTCCAAAATTATAAATCAACTGGTAAAGCCCAGAGGAGAATGAAGGGAGTGGGAGGGAAGGAAGGATAATATTGACTAATATAAAGGGCGCAGCTTGACAGTGGATATTCCTGCCACACCTGATCAAACATGCTCCATGGGGGCGGGGAACGGAGGGCGAGAGCAAGAGGGGAGATGGGACAAGGCAGCCTGAAATTTGCATCCGGAACAGATTAAAATGGGTTCTTGGGGGATTGAGAAAATACATAATATATATTACTATAAATGCAAAATTGTACTAAAAGCTAACTCAAATGTCAAAGATTACAGCTTGAATAAATTTAAATATAAAAGCAATGCGTTTCCATGAGCTAATGAAAGAGACATGAAAGGAAGGCCTAGGCAGGGAAAAAATACCCACCCACAAAAAAAACCCCTAAGCTTGGACTTTTCACAGCCCGGAAGACGAGGCAGGAGACTCTATATCATCCCAAGTATTGCTTGGGAACCTGTCCTTGTCTAAAACTGAAAAAAAAAAAAAAAATGGAGCATAGCAATGATGTCCTATCTCAAGACACCAGTCTGTAAATAGCAGTCATTGAAGCTGAAATTACCTGCTTAAAAGAACCCCATGTAGTCAGACCGACACGCTATCATCACCGTGTATAAGCAATTACTACATGATGACTAATACTCACAGGGAGCCTCTGAATCTCTCAGTACATTAAACTTTGCTTTCTCTAACACAGGCAGAGAGCAGGCTTGCATTTTTTCCCCCAACAACTCAACAGCACGTTGTATGCGGCTACTCCAGATAAATGGCCAGTCCCTGACATTTACTCAATCCACGTTTATTTGAGCATCCTGACATTCCTTGCTCTTGTTGATGAGAAGAGGTATTTGCATTAATGGCAAAGAACTCCAGGAGTCTTATCTTAAAGAGGCTTTTATCTCACAGAAGGGAGAGAAGGAAAATTTCCTCCCAAAACACTTTTGGTGACTGCACGTATGTCCTAGAGAAGACAAGTGAGCTTACAAAAAACACTCACAGACCCAGACTGCCATGTAGTCTGGGCACAAGCACAACATCTAGAACAAAGATACTATCCAGGAATGCAAGCTGTGCAGGAGCTCCACGAGACATCATAACCTGACAGAAGAGTCCTGCTCACCACCAAGGGGAAGGTCACCTGGCAAAAAAAGACAAAGCATTACACTTGCAACCACAAAAGAGGAAGGGCTTAGAACTGGCACGTCTCCTTGGCACGTCTCATGGAAGGGGTACTTCTAGGGAATTCCTTTTTATGGGATTCCAAGCTCACAATGACACAAGAACAGGTGCAGTTTGCAACTAGAAATGCAAGAAGTCATCTCAAACTTCAGTTGAGTGTCATTCTGAAAGCTCACTATAATAAAGGGCCCTGAAATAAAGCTTACTTTCAAATATCACAATCAGTAAGAGAAATCCTAGGAAGAAGCAGCAGAATGCCACACGCAGCTCAGTATTAGCCTCACTTCCAGACTGTCAACATCCACTTAAAGAATCACTCCTGAAACTACAAAAGGAGAAAATGTGGGGAAGAAGGGAAGAAAGACGTGTGGGGAGAAAAATCCTGGCATCACAGCCTTGTGTTCTACTTCTGTAACCAATATACATTTCCAGTTTCTTTCAGTGTAACCAGTCACAAAATAAGCCTTTCACTTCAGGATTCAAGAGACCCAAATAGAAAGTGAAGCCTACGTTTCACTTACTACTGATAACAAAAGATGAAAACCAACAAATCAAAGAATGTGAGGAGAAAACAGATAATGGGAGGCTACTTTCCAAGCAGATTTTTTCCCTCATCATTCACAGATCAGAAAGCATAAACAAAGCACAGAAAGACTATGGAATGGGAGGCTACTTTCCAAGCAGATTTTTTTCCCCCATCATTCACAGATCAGAAAGCATAAAGAAAGCACAGAAAGACTATGTATACTAATACACCAGATTTCATATATTACTACAAGCTTCAGTATATTGAAGAAACACGTGCATTTATATTAAAAGAAAATGTGTGTGTGTATACACTCACAAATATATATATAGACACACATGTATATGTATCTCCAGATAGTGGCAAGCAGTACTATTTGTGGACTAGTTGACGTTAGTATTATTTGTCTAAAAGTATATACATATTTGCTCTTTTCTTGTTATTCAATATATGACCTCCGGATAGTAAATAAGAGAAACAAGTAAACCTGTCAATTTCTTTGCTTATACCCTGGTAGGTACACATACCTGATGATTTCTGTATAAACTTACCTGTTATATTATTCAGCACTTCTTTTAAGAGGCTAAAGCTATGCAGCAGGGGATCCCTTTCTTCATCCTATAGGTTATATATAGGAAGGAAGTCATTAACAAGGTAAAACATATTCCTGAAGACAAATCTTAATAATGGGTCTGTAAAAACCTCACCCTCATATTCATAGAAGTGCTGTGGGTTGAGTTTACCACTGTCAGAGCATTTACTCCATCAAAATCAAGAGGAGCATTTTTATTTTCCTGCTAGTGCTCCCCGATGTCATACAGCTCAAATGTCAAAGCACAGGTTCAAGTCCGAGCATTCTGGCTTGGGTTTATTGTCCTTAGAAGTATTTCTGATTAGCCTTCTGCTGTTCAATAAATTTCAGAGCAAATCTACCTCGTACCATATTGAAATGGCTCATCTGGATTTGCTATAATGTTAATCTATGCAGATTGTAATGGGAACAGAAACACAATGACATTTGGCGCCATTAAAATAACTTGAAGACAGAACCACAGCGCAAAATTTATATGAATAGCTGCATCCTTTAGCCTTAGTCTATCTTTACAAGATTAAAATAAGGAGAAGCAGCAGTTTCTCCAAGCTGTGTACATCCCCAGCCACACCTCCTGCTGGGTGGCAGTGAGCACTAATGAAGAAATGCCTGTTAGAGGGAAAAAGGGCCCTGCCCTTTGACAAACTGAAACCACTTGTGCTGGATGACAGCCATCTGCTATTCACGTGACGTTCTGAAGCACACCACAGACACAGGGCACCACATGCAGATATTGACACTGTGGAAGCCATAAAGTGACCAATGCATCGTTAGACTTGGAAACACTGTATTAATGGCTTTTAACAAAACAGGCTTCAGGCAGGAATAGGGCTAGCAGTCAGAAAACAGAGCTATAAAAAAAAAAAAAAAGACACTATGCCAAATGAAAAATTTAACAATACCCTATATATAATGATTTCCCCAAATTTTATTTCATGGCTTTCATAGGTTGGAAGGGACCTTAAAGATCTCTGAGTTCCAACCCCCCTGCCCTGGGCAGGGACACCTCCCACTAGACCAGGTTGCTCATGATGAAGACTGTCTTCTCTAAGAGGGCTCAAAAGATACAGAAAAACGTTGTGCTAAATAAAAATAACACTATATATTCAAAATCCTTGAAATACCAGGCAATAAAAGTCTAAAAGAGATTACTTTGTTTTTTTTTTTTATTTCATGGCTTTCATAGGTTGGAAGGGACCTTAAAGATCTCTGAGTTCCAACCCCACTGCCATGGGCAGGGACACCTCCCACTAGACCAGGTTGCTCATGATGAAGACTGTCTTCTCTAAGAGGGCTCAAAAGATACAGAAAAACATTGTGCTAAATAAAATAACAATATATATATTCAAAATCCCTGAAACACCAGGCAATAAAAGTCTAAATGAGATGACTTTGGTTTTTTACAGGGTATACAGGTAGAAGATTTCCAGCCTTATACCTCTTACAGTCGCTGGTACACAAGAAGCCAAAACTACTCAGCATGAAACAATGTAGAAAATCATTCCAACTTTACTTATAAAAGTACTACAATGAGTGCTAAAAAAAACAAAAAACTGAGGTGCTTTTCTGAAATCAGGTGGTTTCTGCCAGAGGGTGAACAGGTAGCAACAATTCAAGGTGACTTACCAGATGCGTGTGAGTGTTCCATCGGGCATTGCGCTTGATGGCTCCCACCACCGCGTTGATTTCACCTTGTACAATGTAAATGTTCTTATCCACCATCCTGACGGCCCTGAAAAGAAAGGTAAGAGAAATTCATCTCCAGCCTCTCCGAATTATTCTTTTCCTCCTATAAAACGTCGAGTTGGCCCTAGTCAAGCAGGAGGCCTGCAGAGATGCAAGAAACTCTTTCACATCTTTGTTTTGTGCATGCAGATAAACACAGTTATTTTGTCAAAAAGATGTTTTTCCACACAGCATGTTTTCAAGACCACGAGAGCAGACAGTTAGCTGTAACAGGGCATCTGTGAAGCAAGAGAAAAGTCTGCCAAGGCACATTCCTCATCTTTTTTTTTTCCAGTCTATGTAAGTTCACAGAAAGACAAAGTGTTAGGGTAGCAGGGCAGACACCCATGACAATGCAATCACACGCACATCTCCAGCACTTACACAAAGTCCCACAGCTCTGCACAGAACACAAAGCCAATCTTGTACTCTGCTAAATAAGCATCAGTGGCTCAAATAAGCTGGCCGGAGCTAAACTCTTTGGGACTTCAAACTTTGACAAAATAATTTATAACAGATGTTGATTTTACACTTGCTTCATGAAAAAAAAGCCTTCAAGAAAGAGGGCGAGTAAAAAAAAAAGTCGTGGGTAAGATCCCGCAAAGAAATGAGCAAAATCAGAGACAAAACTGGATGGAACATGGGGAGAAAAAGTGAGAAAGGTAAAGGCAGATATTTACTCTCACGTGGCCCGAGGTCTTACAGGGAAAAACTTAAACTGATGTACTCACAGTGAGACACAGAAGAGGTGGCAAAAATGTATAAGCAAGAAATATTTCTAATTGTCTGAGAAAAAGAAATGAAAAGTAGGTAACTACAGGATTGTTCTCTCTATATTAGCCGTAGCCTAGATATAGCCAAGCATAAAGAAATAAGAATGAAGGGGAATGAACAGAAACGACCGTTCATAAAGAACAAACAGGCCAGATAAAGAGGCCAGAGAGTCCGATGACACCGTGTCTGCCATTGGGAAGGATTTAGTGAAATAGTAGCCAAGTAATGAGGCTTTTTTCAGAAGATATGAAAGGAAAATGAGGAATCCAGCTTGAAATCACAACCGGCCATCCATAGGGAAGCAAAAGACTGAAAACAGATGCAACATTGATCATAACACTTCAAATCAGACAAGCTCATTTAAAGGACTCAACTGGGGAGGGAGGGCAGGGGGTAATAAAAGACAGAGAATAAGAGAAGGAATTTTGCCTATTTGGCAAAAGCAAAGCTGGAAGGAAACTGTTTTGGTTTATTACTCCAGACCTCAGAAACACCACCACAAAAATTTCAGAACATAAATCCTGGATCTGTCAGGCTTCACATTAATTAACATGTTTGAATTACCAACAACACTTCAAATATACAAATATCCTCTGAGCGAAAGAGACTAATTTGCTTCAGAACTCTGTAAATAATGGAAAGAAAGCAAAATATTATAAAAAGATACTTTATCAAGGGACAACAGCAGATTCGTTGTTTTCAGTTTTTATGTGTTTGCAATAGAATGAATAATCTTATGGCAAAAGTGTTTCTTACTTTATGAGATTAATTATACATAATGGTATTACTAAGTGTTACCCAATACATTAGGGCCAAAGACAAAAGTATTTTTTAATATAGGGCCTGCCATGACAGACCAGATCAATAATTTATCTCATTCACTACTGGATGATTCAGAAAAATAAACAAATAGTTCTAGCAAGTGGTTTATTTGTGCCCTGGAGAACAAAGGTTTATATCCTCCCTCCACAGCTGTTTATAACAGAATTCTTCCTACTCATCTATCTAATGCTTGATAGAAGTGCCTGTCCTCAATAGTAATTTATTCCATATGTTATTTATATTAAAATTTGCATTAAAATACCTTTGATCACATTTTTTTCTACTTTTATATGCTTTGTTTTAGTGCAAGGTATTAATGGGAGATTTTCTCCACCATGTAAAATTAATCATTTATTTATCTCTTCTTCAGTAATTCCAATATTTTCCATATTTCTATATTGACAGTTTCAGGGATCAAAACTCTGGCCCACAGAAGTATTTTTGGGGAAATACTCGATACATTCAAATCTGTCAAAACCCAAGTTTTCCTTGTCTTCACTTTACCAAAACAATATCGAGCACGTAAACTCCAAAGTGCCATTCCAGGTGTTTAGCAAACTGCCATATTTGGCAGTTTGGCTCCCCCAACCTGATCTAGAAAAGCACATAAAGATAAACCAGAAGTAAATATCACATGCCCTGCACATACACAGGTAACTCAGTAGTTCTGCCAATATTCAAAGTGCTGCCAAAGCTTAAAAGCTATTCTGCATACTCCTGAATCTGCTTGTAGAAACTCCTCTACTTTAAACCTAAAAGAATCAAGACAGAAAAACTTGTTAAACTCTGAATGTAGGAGACTTAACAATGCTCTACTCTTCCCAAACCTGGTGGTATCTCCAAGCAGCAAAATATGAAGAAGACACAAACCTCCAACACACACCTTTTCCTTTTAACCTGCTGGGAAACTGAATGTGCTGATCCTTTCAAGCAAGGGTGCAAAAAAATCCATTGTACGTGGCACACACAAAGGGTGCAAAAAAATCCATTGTACGTGGCAGGGCTCTCCTGACACATTAAAATAATGCAAAAATTAAGGTACTTTTTTGTGATTATAGCCTTTCATTGCTAACTATTGGAGAAGACGATGAGAATTCACACCTTTCCTCACTGCAGATTCCTTTATACAAAAGTACAAAAATTCATTTTACACGTGCCAAAAAACTGAATATAACTTAAATACTCTGTCTCTCTGGAGACACAGATTCCCTCTCAGATCTCTGAGTATCATACATGCAGCCCACTTCACCACAAACACCGGGGTAAAGATGAAAAAATCCTGCTTTATATTTAAGCTTACAGTTAACCAAGCAATAGCACACACACATGCCAAAGTAAACCACAGCCAACTATCTTCATTCACGCAAAGGACCTTTGTGACTGCGTCCTGGAGAAGGAAATAGAAAATAATTACAGGGTGGAAGGGAAAGCCAGACAACTACTTTCAGAGAGATGCATCTTAAAAGCTAAACCCAGCAAAAGCACCCTCCATCCCTGTAGAAGTTTAAAAGTTTATTTCAAGCAATGGAAATAGCTTCTCTAAAATCCGCACTTCCCAAAGCCTACCCCTTTTAAACTATCAGATAATTTCAGTATGCATTCCTTCAGCTGTATCTTCATCACAAGCAATAACTGCTTACACTTTAGAGCTCAGTATAGATGTACTATATTGAAAGTTTTAAGGTTGTAATCAATGCTCTGAAGCAGCAGAGAGAAAGTTCCAAGATTCACCAACCCAGCACTGAACGATCAGTTTGGTTTAGTAGAGCATGGTGGTAAGTCAAGCAAAACCACAAAATGTTTGTTCAACATAAAAAAAAATTGCTAACATGATTTCAGAGGTTTAATGTTACAAAGGCACTGTCTGAAGAGTGGGATATTGTGTAACTGTTGGTTGGATGGGTTAACAGAACTGCTAATGCTGAAGGTCATTAGAAAAGATGAAACAACCTCCCTAGTAAAGCCATGGGTCCAACGCCTTCTTCAGATCAAGACCAGATGCCTTTCTTAAAAGCAATCTTTAATTAAACACAAGACAGTGGACTCAGTACAGAAACAAGCAGATTAAATTTTGTGGTCTTGAGTTGTGCAGAAAAAAATACCAGGAAAGGTACTTCTTAAATTTCAAATGCTTTTTAGCTCCTTATCTCTCCAGTTAGAAACCGGAGTTTATGTAGGACTTTCTCATGATGGGTTCATACGTTTGCTTAATTCTGCAGATGAGCCCTCAGATTTCTCTCTCATGTGGAACCTCGACAGGCAGCACAGCGAAAGTGACAGCTCCAAACCAAGGCAACACGGCTGCCCAGCCCACCAGGAGAAACAGGGAACCTGTCAGCATCCACAGCCCCACTGCTAACAAGGGTAGGAACACTACGAATGAGAAAAGGTAGATGCCTGAACATGTTATAAAAAACAACAGCCTAACACTCATATATGCTTCCCAAAGCCTAGCGTTCTGTGGGCAGTCACTATCGCTATTCTGAGACTCCTGAAATAGCATCAGATGTGAAGCCTTCACACAAAAACACTGGCAAGATTTACATCTGCAAATGTTGTCTCGCACGTGCACTGAACGCTCCGCTGCTCAACCTTGCAACACACCACCCCAAAAACATCCCGGTGCACAGGGGTTTTTCCAAATTTTTCCCTGGGTATTACGACAAGAAATCTCAGGTATGCTTTTAGGAAATGCTCCTTCCCCTGCAGGGAAATGCGTGCGACTCTTCTGGAAACAAGCAAGAGTTCGCATCAGAAGCGACAAAGCCTGGCAGACTTCCATCAAATCACTTCTTCCCATCACTAACTTTAGCCTTCAGCTATGGTAACCGACTCAAATCCAGTGAAACTACTCCAATAAACAGCAATAATACAAAAACAACATAATCACTACATGTGCAAGAAAGGTAGTATTTCAAAGTAAGCTTCCACTGACCTAAATCTGCACTGTTTATGATAATACATGAATAATCTATATAGTCTCTGACCTAGATTTGGCCACTCAAGTCCTGATACAATACACTGCTACCAAAACAGAACACACAACACTTCGGTCCATGATTCACAAAACATTCCTGCCTAACTAAAGAGCCAGCCAGGTTACCCAGAAGCCCAGCTGATAATGAAATAGCTCCTTTTCTTCCTTCTAAACCACACACGGAAGATACATGACTTGCTATCAGGAAATTAAACTTGCTTGGGTTTTATGTGCAATAACAACTCTGCAATAAACATCACAGGCAGCGAAAGTTCACAGAACTCTGGATGTTTCTCCAAAGGCTCGCTCCTAATTCCTGGACAAAAGTAAGAGAAAAGTTTTCATTTGTAAGATTTCATTTCGTTTGTCAGTATGGCAAAGAAGCACGCAGTCTGGTGCGATTCCAGGCAATTAAGGATGCCCTTTAAGGGATATGGAGCAGTAAGAGGACAGTGGTGGCACACGAGAAGGGAAGGGGGCACAGGCTTCTCTGCAAGTCTCCAACACTGAGCTGCAGGAGCGAGAGAGCACCTGGGAACTGAGAAGAGAAGGCAACTCACGTTTATCTGTCAGAACTGCAGAGTGAAAATGAAAGCTAAGGTAAACACCAAGAGGGGGATCTTTCTTTCTTCCGATTACTTCGTATTCTCGGAACTAAGGAACACAGTACCAGCAGAACTCGTAAGGCACACCCTAAGCCAGCCCTGAGCCCTCCTCCTGCCACCAGCTGAGAAGCCGGCTCTATACTGGGGAAAAAAAAAAATATATAAAAAGCTGTTTCCACCAATTTTTAAGCGAGACAACTTCACAAACCATACGCAGGGGCCTGTGGAGGTGCGGGGCACACCGGGATCCCCCGGCCCTGCGCTCCCAGCCCTCACCCTCCCTCCCCCGGGGCCTCCTCCGCTCCCTGCACCACCACCACCACCCCCCCTCCACCGCCTCACGGTTCCCCCCGCCGCAGCACTCGGCCGCCCGGCACTGACCCCCGCATCCAAAATGGCGGCGCCTGCTCCCCGCGGCGGCGGCCGCTTCACATATCGGGTGAACGGGCGGGCGGCGCCGTGGGCGGGAGGGCTCGGCCCTCCCCTCTGTCCGCCCTTCTCCCCTCCCTCCCGGCGGCGGCGGTGCCGGTGCGGCCGCCGAGCGAGGGGGTCTTGCCGGGCCGGGGGACCAGGGAAACCGGCTCCGCACCGCTCTCACTGACGTGGAAACAGGCGCACCGCAACCCGCTGCCTGGTTACTGCGCTGACGGACAGCCCGCAGAGCCAACCCGCGTACGATGCGGCGGGCAGCCGGCGAGGACGCCCAATGGAATCACGCTTTGCAACCGGAGGAGGCGGGCCTTCCAGTGACAAGCGGCGGAGAGCCAATGAGAGGAGGGAGGGTAGAAGTAGCAAAGCCGCTGGCCAATCGTGAAGGAGTCTTGCGGCCGCTGGGCTCAGCAAGGGTGGTTGAGCGGAAGGGCTGCCCTCGCAAAGCATTGTGGGTCGGGCCGCCCGCCTGTGGGGTCACCGCCACCGCCGCCGCCACCGGCGCCGGGCGGGCCCTGCCCCACCGGGGCGCCCCGGGGCTGGCCCATGGGCCTGGGTGGGGATATCTGAAGGGGTGCGGGTCCTAATCAGCCCGCTCGGCCACCCGGGAAGGGTGGGTGACCGTGCGAAGGCGCTTCAGACTCGTGTCTGTGGAGGAGACCCCCAGGGAGCAAAGGGTTGCAAGGGACATAGAATCATAGAATGGTTTGGGTTGGAAGGGACCTCAAAGATCATCCAGTTCCAACCAGGGACACCTCCCACCAGACCAGGTTGCTCAAGGCCCCATCCAGCCTGGCCTTGAACCCCTCCAGGGATGGGGCAGCCACAACTTCTCTGGGCAACCTGTTCCAGTGCCTCACCACCCTCACAGCAAAGAATTTCTTCCTGAGATCTAATCTGAATCTTTTTTCTTACAATTTAAAACCGTTTCCCCTTGTCCTATCATTACCCTTCCTGGCAAAGAGTCCCTCCCCAGCTCTTCTATAGGCACCCTTCAGATATTGGAAGGCCACTATAAGGTCTCCCCGGAGCCTCCTCTTCTCCAGGCTGAACAATCCCAGCTCCCTCAGCCTGTCTTCATAGGAGAGGTGCTCCATCCCTCTGATCATCTTCGTGGCCTCCGCTGCACCTGTTCCAGCTGGTCCATGTCCTTTCTGTGTTGAGGACTCCAAAGCTGGACACAGTATTCCACCAGCGGCCTGTGAAGCCTGTGGTGCTTGGACCAAACACCGTTTCTTGGCAGGGTGAAGCAGTGGCTGCAGCAATAACTCTCCACCACTCTGCACCACTGTTGTCCCAGGACTCTCCCACAGCCTCTTCCCTGGAGCTGGCTGTGAGGTGGTGCCCAGCAGCGGCTCCTTCCCTCCTGGACACCTCCCTGGGTCACAGTTTTGATGTTCCCGTTGCTGGAATGGCTCCTCCCCAGGCCAGGCAGGAAAATTCAGCTGGAGGAAACACAGCTGTTTATGTGTAATCCTGCTGGCACGCAGCTGTTGCACACACAATGGCACCCAGAGGGGCACACGCAGCTTTTCTGTCCTCTGTGGTCCTGCTCGGCTGGTAACTTTCCTCAAACCTGAACATGACTGGTGCTTTGCTCAAGTTGCTCCACAAGCTGTGTGCTACAGCCTCAGTTCATCCAACCCAGCTAGCCTGGCAGCCAGGGACCACAATTTGGTTTGACTGCTATTTGAAGCCAACCTATTAGCCAACTGTTTGCAGGAAGAGCAGTCAGAGCTTTGCAACCGTATGGCAGTGAGCATAACAAACTCGGTGCTGGTCCAACCTCAGCCACCTTTTTTTGCCCCAGTGTCGATGTAGTGGCACTAATTTGCTTAAACACACTTGTTTAAGCCTCCGCTTATTGAATGTGGGGCAGAGGACAGAAGGTCCCTGCAGTCACCCAATAGTTTTATAGCGCTGGCATCTGCAGCCAGGTTGGTTGGGGAATCTGTTGTGGCAGGTGTTGGAGTGGTCAAAGCAGCAGCTATCCCAAAATCTTACACTCTGTAAAAAAAAAACACAAATCAAACTGAAGGTGAAGGGAAGGGAAATGGTTGAGAAGTATTCGTTTGCTGTCCTAATCACAACATCATCTGCTGCAGCGTGATTGAAGGAGGGAAGTTCTCACACAAAGGCACAAGGGAATGTGCAACAGGATTTTTTTCTTGTTCAGCCGAGGCTGACTCCAATGCCTCCCTGAAAGAAGTCCAGGTATCATCATGTCCTTCTCTTGAGGGCACAACCTCCAAGAGAGGATGGGACACTCTGGAAATGGTGGCCACCAAATCCTTCCCTTTCCCCACGAATAGCTGCCCGAATATTTCCTGATCAAGAATCAGTCTATCTTAGACTGAAACTGCTGTTGTCTCCCAGCTCTGACAGCTGGAGGCCAGGGGACCTGCTTCAGCTGGGGCTTTACCTGATAAACATGTCTTTGGACGCGGGAAAGACATGAGAAGTCTTTGGAGTTGGAAGCCACCTAAGCAACGAGTGAAGGTTTGCAGAACAAGAAGATATTTATCAGTGCTTTCTCCTTCCCTCCTGTCCCCCTCCAGCAGCCACTAAAGCCCCTGTGATGTCTGCCAGCCGTTCAGACATTCACAGGAGTTTCTCATTGCCACTCTGTCCATCCACTCCCTGCTCAGGGAAGGGGATTTTGGGTTCTGGCTTGGCCGTTGTGCACAGCGCAGCTCAGTCCAGGTCAGCCAAGCTTCCCTTCCTCCCAGGGAAGGGGCTGGAGCCCTCTCCCTGCCTTCCTGCCCCTTCCAGTGCCAGCTGGAGCTCAAGCTCCCACCCAGCCCGATCTGGTGAATCAGCCCTTGCTAAGGTGTTATTTATGGAAGCCTGTCACGGAGCTTCAAACCGAGCCAGCCAGGAGCCTTCTGCTTCACCCGAATGCATCTTAGTGCATTAATAAAGAGCAAACATTGCAATGTGCTTTGCATTTTTTACTTACAACCCAGCACCGCATTGTCTGGAGAGAAAAACAATACGGCACGGCCCCGCGCTGCCTGGGGAGAGGAGAGAGTTCACTCGCCCGCACTACGGCGTTTGTCAAGCCCTCGGGCAGCCCAGCACCACCCCGGCTGCACAGAAAATCCTGCTGATGTGACAGTGTGGCACCAACACCCCCAGCTCAGCAGCAGCGGGGCAACCTGGCTTGCCCGGACCATCTGATCCATCAGCACTTGGCCAGAGCAGTGGACAGATCGCGTGGAGGCGAGTTGGAGCACTCCCTTCTCTCTTTATTCTCAAGATATTGCACTGGTTCTTACACACAGCGTGGTGCAGTGAAACCAAGGATCAGACGAGCACAGTCCGTGCAAATCCCTCAGATTCCTGATGTCTGGTCAGGAAAGCTGGGCTTTATCCTCATCGCGAAGATGCAGCTTTCCAGCAGAGTTTCTGTCTGGAGTATTCCTCCTCAGCCCACGAGGAAGCATATGGAAGGGCTGCAAACTCACCCACAAATATCCCCTCAGGCCTTGCCCAGGTACCTGGTCACAGAATGATATCACAGAATGATATCACAGAATGATATGAGGTTGGAAGGGACCTCTGGAGATCATCTAGTCCAACCTCCCCTGCCAAAGCAGGTCCACCCAGAGCAGGTTGCACAGGAACGTGTCCAGGCGGGTTTGAATGTCTCCAGAGATGGAGACTCCACCAGCTCTCTGGGCAGCCTCTTCCAGGGCTGTGCCACCCTCAAAGTAAAGAAGATCCTCCCTTGTGTTTAGGTGGAACTTCTTATATTCAAGTTTGTGCCCACTGCCTCTTGTCCTGAAGATGCAGAGCAGCCTCCTTTAGGCTACAATGCCCTGCCAGCTGTTCTCCTGCCTGTATCTCAGCAACACACTCCTGCACTTCCCGGTGACAGAAAGCTCTCCCGATGAATGTCCTGATGTAATGTTTTCCATTGTCTCTTCTTGGCCGAGGCAAGCCGTGCCTTTTTGGCAGGAGCAACCCGGGCTCAGTTAGTCATATCTTCGTCACCTCTTGGCTAGACTACAGCTACGTGATACACCTGGGCATGAAGCCCACAGCACTTGGCCAATGCCAACCAGAGGAGCACGCTGCAGTGGGAGACCTGGCTACCACAGACTCATCAAACCTACCCTCTGCTCCTTAGGCCATCTTCTGGCTTGGAAGCTAAGGAGAATTCAAGCCCAAGTCCTGATCTTCAAGGCATTTGATGGCATGGGCCCAGCACAGCTAAAAGATCAGTTAAGACGCAAAGATGGAAACCATGATCAGCAATCAACAACTCCGCCACTCTCCAAGAGCAGTGGAGACATCCAGCCTGAGGAGCGGGTTTGCCTGTGACAGAGACAGAGTTTCTCTGAGAACAAGCTCTTTCCCAGCTGGTGAAAAATGAGGGATGTCTGAGATGCTGAGTAATTCGCTCCTTTCGCACTTCCCGTCTCTCCGCCAAGATGCGAGTCGGGTTCACTCTGGGTTTAGTTTGCTTTTGCTTTAGTTATTTATTCATTTATTTTTATTTTATATAGAATAGAATAGAATCATAGAATTGTCTAGGTTGGAAGGGACCTTTAAGTCATCTAGTCCAACCATCAATTTAACTCTGATAAAAACCATCACTAAACCACGTCACGAAGCACTATGTCAACCTGTCTTTTAAATCCCTCCAGGGATGGTGCCTCAACCCCTTCCCTGGGCAGCCCATTCCAATGGTTAATATAAAATAGCAACGTTCATCTCCTGAACCCAGGTGAAGTTCTTGGTCTCTTCCCCAGCAGTGAATTATCCAGCTGGCAAGACAAGACGCTCTATGGCTAGGACGTCATGGAATCATGGAATTGTTGGAGTTGAAAGGGACCTCTAGAGATCACCTAGTCCGACTCCCCTGCCAAAGCAGGGTTGCCCAGAGCACATCACTCGGGAGCATCCAGGTGGGGCTTGAAGGTCTCCAGAGAAGGGGACTCCACACCCTCCCTGGGCGGCCTCTTCCAGGGCTCTGGGACCCTCACCAGAAAGAAGTTTTTCCTCTTATTTGAATGGAACTTCCCATGTTCCAGCTTGTGCCCGTTGCCCCTCGTCCTGTCACTGGGAACCCCTGAAAAGAGTCCAGCTCCATCCTCCTTCAACCCACCCTTTAGATACTTGTCAGCATTAATAAAGTCTCCCCTCAGCCTTCTGTTCTCCAGGCTAAAGAGCCCCAGCTCTCTCAGCCTTTCCTCATCAGGAGGATGCTCCAATCCCTTAATCATCTTTGTTGGCCTGCGTTGGACTCTCTCCAGCAGTTCTCTGTCTCTCTTGAACTGGGGAGCCCAGAACTGGACGCAGTATTTTGGCACTCACCTGCAAGACCCGCTGCTGCTGCATTTCAACACGAAACACCAGAGCACTCCCTCCCAAAGAGACCCTCCGGGGGTCGGTCCAGCCGTCGCACCGAGGTTGTCTTAATGAAAGCCACCCAGCCCCGGTCCCTGGATGGTCTAACCCAGCAGCCTTCCCACTCTGCTCCAGAGGGAGCAGGCGTGTGACATAGCGCCGGTTCATATTTCCAATTGCCCAAGGGAAATAGCTAAAAATACCTTTTGTTTCATTATTACTTGAAAGCGTAAGCACTAACTGTACTCGCTGCGGGGCTACTGGCCCTCAAAGCTTTGGAGGGAAGGGGAAGCAATCCAAAATGGGGGGGAAGGGTCTGTCCCTTCATTGGGGTGGACCTCGAATTAGGGTTTTCAGCCTCTCCGTGGCACGTGGCGAGAGAGACAGGCTGCCCCGTGGAAAGTGCCAGTGCTGCCATACCACGCCAGCTTCTCTTGGTGGAAATAACCCCATGCCGGGATGGATTAAAATCTGGGCTGGAAAAAGAAAAAAAAGAAGCAATCTATCTCACTGTCCTTTTTGGCAGGCGAAAAAGCAGGAAGGCAAACACTCCTCAGATGACCACCGTTGAAAGAGCACGATAGTTTCTTGTAAGTGCATCAACATTTTAAGGAGCACACCTCCTTTTAAACTCTGTCTGTTTCTACTGAATCAATTATGAATGTTTTTGAACTGTAATCCCCTATGCCCGGGTCTGCTTCACCCCTCTTTACATCCTGTGCTGCTTCACATGCATCTGTCTTCCCCTACGGATCTATACGCCGCGTTGTGCATTTGGCAGGCCCCCTAAATGCAGCTCGTAAATCACCCCGGGGGTTAAAATTCGCTCCTATTCTCACCCCGTGATTTCCTAATCTCTAAAACAGGGCGGTGGAAGAGCTCGAGGGCGACCTTTGGCATCATAAATCGGCCAGCGGGTTGACATGGAAATGACCTCCAGAAAATCAGAGCCTAAGAATCACGCATCCCACCCCGGGAGAGCATGGAAAGGGGATAAACCTCTTTTCTTCCCTGGGCTCCGGTGTCCCGGGACAGGACGGGGGAGGCTGAGCCCGGCTTGTGCAGACCCCGGGAGAAGAGGAGACGTGTCTTCCCGGAGTGACACCTGTGTGCAGACACCTCCGGGGGGACGAGCGTCTGGGGACATTTCAAGGGGGGGGAATCCCACCCTCCACCCCCGCCGCACCGGGGATTTACCCGTGAACTTCGGCAGGAACCGGGCTGGAACCTAAACCACCGGCACCGTGCGGGTCCGCCATCAGCAGGCGCGGGGTTTCCCGCACAACCGGCAGCCCCCGTGTCCCGGGAAAAGCGGCACGGAGTCTCCAGAGAAGCGCTTCTCCGGTACGGCCGAGAGCCGGAACGGTGATTAGCCGGTAATTAGCATCCCCTGCAGACTCCCGCTCCACCGGACAGGGCAAGGCTTCCAACAGACTTGGCTCCCCCCCCGCAGAACCCCTCTAACCCTAAAGCCCCGCACAGCCCCGCCGCGCCCGGTACTC